AAAAATATTTTTAGTTTTTAATTCATTACAAACGAACCGTACAAGTTGGCTTTTTTTTCTGTTCACTAAATGATTCATAGATTGCCTTGTTAATGCTGATTGAAGCATTCCCAATGCATGTTAAAAATGGATTTGATACTCAACATTGTTAGGGCGACTGTTAACTCTTTGTGTGAAGTGCATCCTTCCCAAAATGATTGTTGAGCAGCATCTAATAGTTTATAGCATTGTTGTGCTTCACTGTTCGGTTTCTGGTTATCATTAGGCACAATTCAAACAAAATGAGTCTGCTTGTATCATCAATCATTTGTTCATACATGCCAGAATCGTGAACAATTGGTGGGGCATAACTTGATGAGGCTCCTGCATGATTTTGCTAAACTTTTGGTTCACATTCATCATGTGAAGTTCAATACCAATGATTAGGTTTAAATCCTCTACGGTATATGTCCAACTTCATTTCTTTAGGTGTTAAGTACGTTTGATTTTTTTGCTTCGCACAGGGGCATCAAAACATACATTCTTAAAGATAAACGGGCAGATACGATGTCACATGCTTGAACTCTTCAACACCAACAATAAACTCGTCAGTTAATCATTTTTTTCCTGGATATAATCTGTTATACATCCACGATCTAACGCTTCAAATTTCCATGTGTCATAAATGTAGCTCTCTTACACATAACACATCCTATTTGAAACCATAAACCACCTACAAATCATACCTGAAACCCGTAGCCCACAAATCAAAAGAATCAACCTAAATTGTTTTATGTACATACATAACACAAATTTGGATGTGTTCTGCACCTAAATTTTCCTATTTACATGCATAACACAAAATTCTTCTGTATTTACATATTACATTACACAAATTTATTCTATATTTACATGTCTCACACCTAAATTTTCAACCTTAAATACACAGCACAAATTTCTTATGTATTGACATATCTCACACCAAAATTTTCTTAAATAGCACAAATTTCTTATATATTTATATAGCCCACACTAAACTTAGGGAAAATCATGAAATCCATGTGCATTGCATGCCTAACGATGGAATAAGAAAAAACTTGGTATATTCGGATCTAACACCTATGCAAGGAAAAGAAAGAAGAAAACTTATGCTAAACCAAAGCTTGGAGATGTGGAAGAATATTTTTTACCTTGGACGGGGTTGGAGCAGTGAATCGGAGTTGGTTTCATTGGAGAAGCTTAGGAGGCGACAAAGATGATGAAAGGAAGCCGAAGGAGAGGATGAAGCGTAATAGAGTTGCGGTTCGTGAGAGCCCTATTTTAAAGCTTTTGCATCCACTTTAGCATCGGGTATGTGCGACGCTAACGAATAAGATTAGCGTTGGGCAACTTCCGCACGACGCAACTCGCTTGCATCGTTTCATCTGGAGGTGGACTGCATGGTGACACTAACGGACGCTAATTTAACGTCTGTATTTATGATGCTAGTTTACAGTTTTTCGTAGTGGCATAGTGCTTTCGGTCAAGCCAACGCAACTCGCTTGCATCGTTTCATCTGGAGGTGGAACTGCATGGTGACACTAACAGACGCTAATTTAACGTCTGTATTTATGATGCTAATTTACAGTTTTTCGTAGTGGCATAGTGTTTTCGGTCAAGCCAAAAAAAAAAGTGGATGCCAGCTATCTTATTTATAATTATAATAATAATTTATTTAGATTTTTTTGTGTTTTGGTTTCCTTACATAAGAAAATTGTCTTCTTTTTTTAACATTTACACGCATACCACCCAATTACATGCATTTACATATACATCCAACACCTAATCTCGAAAATTTATATTTATACTAAAATATTTCATGTCACATAAAAATGTCATCATTTTAGTTCTTAAAAAATGAAATACATCTTTTCATGCATAGATAAAAGAGCATGTATGTAAAGTTTGCAGTTCACACATCAATTTAGGTATTAGATATGTATTAGATATGCAAATACAGCTGTAAATATTTGTTGTCTCGCACATTTTTGGATGGACGAGAAGGACATACGGAGAAGTAATATATATTTAAAATTTGTCCAAAATTTCAAGTGACATGTGTTTTAGGAATCTAAGATAATAATTGAGGGATTGAGGCACAATGGACTAAATTGTCAGTCTCCAAAACGTGAAAAAAGGATGGAGGAGACGGCCATCATTCATTTCGTTGTCCGGGTCACAAGACTTCTTAAAGAGTTTAGAATCTTTTATTTGCTCATGTATAGATGTGTTATTTAATTTTCATATGCCTAGTAAATTTTTGATCGGATAAAACTTGAATATTTGATTTATGTGGCTAATATTTGTATAGAGTAATTATCCTGCAGAGACTCATTTTTTATTCGTTGTCCGGGTCACAAGACTTCTTAAAGAGTTTAGAATCTTTTATTTGCTCATGTATAGATGTGCTATTTAATTTTCATATGCCTAGTAAATTTGTGATCGTATAAAAATTAAATATTTGATTTATGTGCCTAATGTTTGTATATAGTTAATATCCTGCAGAGACTCATTTTTATTTTATTTTTTATTAATGGACTAAAATGAAATATGTTCTCTCAAGTAATCATGTCCCCGTTCTAAGACATCAGTTCTCATTTTTCTTTTGCTCCGCAACACGAAGCGTTTTTAATTTGTCAAATTTGCCCTCGGCTTGACCCTCATTCTCCTCTCCTGCCCTAACCATCCCGCGATTCTTTCCGGTCCCGGAGGTCCTTCATCCTAACCTTCCCGCTCTCGCATTCTTCTGCCCTAACCGTCAGTCTCTCGCATTCTTTCGGCATTTATGTGCTTCTTCTAGTATCCTTTATCCCTTAATCATGATATTTTGAAACAATTTGTGTGATTCAAATGTTTTTTCCCTGAAGCCACAAACAAATGTACATATAAAATATGATACATTTGTGGTTGATGCATGTGCATGAACAAGCTTCCAATGAATTTATATCCACATGAATTACCTTGTAAGTCATATCAAATACATGATAATCATGATATGCAGCTCATTCAAGTTGGTTGTGAAAATTCGCGTCCTTCACACTCAATTCTCTATAAAGTTACTCTCGTATGTGGTTATTTAAGCCTATTATGCTATTGTTCGAATGTTTCCAAATAAATCAACTAAGTTCTAATAAATTATACAAATTAGGCTTTAGTTGGCAGAATTCGAGCACATGTGAGGCACATTGAAATATACATATGCATTTGTAGTCATTGTACCAAATATGTACCCAACATCATATACTATTGATTACTTTGTAATCTAATGCTCTATAAGCCAATCAAATGTTTTCTTTTTAATATTCTTAATATCTTTCATGTGCTAATTGAACATATACATGTCGTCAGTCTTCCCTGACTAATACATTTAATCACATATAATGTCAACATCGGCTATGACAAAGCATTGTGATGTCTTTTTAAAGTTATCCCATAGATGTCACAAATAGTGATTGTCTACAGTCCCCCAGAGGATCTTATGCCCATAAACTAGACATAAGTGCTTAATGATATAAAGCAGAGGTCGTTAAGATTCTGAGCGGGTTTCACTAAATTGTGTAGTTGTTGTAGAAACCACACTAATTATTATTTTTAGATTTACCAACTACGAAGGTGAGAGGGAAGAGCTTGTAGCTGTTGTGGAAACCATAGTAATAACTTATTATTTTCAGATTCAACAACTACAAAGGTGAGAGGGAAGAGCCTGTCATTTTCATCAATACTTATAGTAGTTAACAGAGTTTCTCTATATTTATCATAAAGAAAAGCTTTATCAATACTAAGAACAAGTCGACAAAATTTTTAAAAAATATGCTTGGGCACAATGCCAAAAAATTAACTTTCATTCTAAGCATAATGTCGGGTATTAATATGCATAAATGTAATATCATGCAAATTAATGAGTAGCATGATTCTCATAAATTTCAAAAATTGACCCATATTTTGATGTGTGCAACATGGATATTAAATTTTGTCTCCATTGAGACAATTATTTTTTAATTAAGTTGATGAGAAGGTGTATGTGATGATCCAACCAAAAAAATTTTCATGCACTACTTATGTGTTAGCTTCTAGATGCAGGCAATTTTTTTGTGAGAAGGATCATATTGATGGTTTTGGACCACCCACATGAGTCTTCAAAAGAGTTAAGGAGTGGTTATGAGCCTCAAGGGGAGATGGTTCAATTGATGATTTTGGGCGTGTTAGGGAACATATGAAAGTCCAAGTGTGTGTGTGCAAGACCAAATCACCCATGGTTGCCTTAAGGTCAATTGATCCTATAGGAACTCATTCTCGAGTCTTCACATGTTGGTCTCAGCCATCACTAATCCTCTAGGATGGTCAACAACAAATTTCTATTGGAGATCCTAGCCCTCTAATGAAGGGAATTATACCTCATCAAAAATGAGGACAACACCCACGGCAAGCCCAACTCGCCATAAGAAAATAAAAGTTAATGTTAATAAAATAAATTATAAAAAAAGATATAAGGCAAAAAAACATGTAATTTTGTACAATCATACCAACCAAATGGAACAACATTGAGATAAATCTTTTAATTGTTGGTGTTAGTTTTGAGTTTTGTATGCTATTTTATGATTTTGTTGTCAGTAATATTCATACCCTTTCTTTGATAATAATAATAATAATAATAATAATAGAAATTTATAAACGTACTACATAGAAATTTATAAACGGTATTCTTATGTGTTTATATTCTTAGCACCCAAAGTTTAAAATTTACACTAATACATCATGACATTAAAAAGTGCATTTCACTTTTACAAAGATAGTGATTGTGATATTATTGATATGATGTTAAAGATTTAATAGTATGCATGTAAAAATGACTGCGTAGACATTAAAATATGTAAATTTAATACATAATACCAAGAAAAATGCAATTGCACCGCACACGCGTGCAGAGAGAGAGAGAGAGAGAGAGAGAGAGCAATAATTAGCACGGAGAGAGAGAGAGAGAGAGAGAGAGAGAACAATAATTAGCACAAACACATATAGTGCATATCCATTTGGTTTCTCTGACAATTTATTTGCTCCAGCTCCAAGATATGCCACCAAAGCTGATACTTTCAAAGCATACTTTTGTAGATGTATTAAATGCAATAAAAGGACAATGCAAAATTTTGCTTGTCCACTTATCCTGACATTTATTTGAATCAAGTTTCGATTGACTCCTCTTTTTTCTTGCTCTTCCAATCTTTACTCTTGTATATGGTGCTAAAATATTTTTTATTTATAATTCATTATAAACGAACCAAGCAGGTTGGCTTGCTTTTCTGTTCACTAATGGTTCATAGATTGCCTTGTTAATGCTCTCGACTAGCATGGTTGGTGAGTCAAATGCATTCGTAGAGTTAAAGAACATTTGAAAAACTTTTAATGCAGATAGATGCAAATCCTTCCACTCTGTTGGCATCTCAGACTTGGTAGAATCCTTGGACATCACTAGTTGCAGAATTTTCTTTTTCTTTTTTTCCAAAATGTTCATCACAAATGCTTTGGCATCATCAATCCCCTCCTTTGGATTCTCTTTCAGGTATAACAAAATAATGTTGGGCTTGCCAACCAAAGCTTCTTTCTGCAAATAAATTATATTTTCGTAAAATCGACATCATTTTGTAAATGAAATAGTAATCACCATAATTTAGAATATTGTAAAATTTTATACTTTCAAAAGTATTTAGAAACATATGGCTTGAGATGGAGTACTTATATAAGTAAATAATGCAGTCTTGTTGCCAAACCTCATAGCTCTCCAAGTCATTTAGCAGGCGACATGAAGTCATAATAGATTGGGTAATCATTATATTCCTCAAGTCCCAACAACTCTCTTCAATATCGATTCTTGAGTTTGTCAAATAACATAATGCAAGAATTATCATATGAACTGCAATTGATGTCTTCCCATTTTCAATATATTGATCAATTGAAATATAATGAGTACTTCTGCTCCACTCTGCTTCCTTTAGCCATGACTTGAATATTTCTTTCCACTGCATAGTCAATAAATTTATACAATTACGTTGGTATTGATTAGCTTATTAAAATGAATATCAGGAGAGATTTAATGTTATTCATGACTCACATTATCTTGAAGATTTTCCTTCAAATCAAGGCCATGCAGCCTAAAGATTTTTGAAGAAATATCATGAACAAAGTTGTCGAGGGCGGTGAAAATAACTTTGCTATGACTTGTTAGACCTTTTCCTTCCCATCTATGATTAAAGTGGGTAAAGATAATAAAAGTTATTTTAATACATAATACCAAGAAAAATGCAATTGCACCGCACACGCGTGCAGAGAGAGAGAGAGAGAGAGAGAGAGAGAGAGAGAGAGAGAGAGTTTTTTTTAAATGTGCTTATAGTTCCAAAGTCTTATTTTTATTTTTACTTTTTTTTTCTTATAAATCCATTCAAGAATTCCTCCATTTTCACATATGTTGTCTTTTCACGAGTTGTTATATGAAATGAAATAAATATTTCAATATTATAATGCCTAAGGACAAGTATGATTATGAATTTAAAATATATCTATTATCAAATGAAAATAATAAATAATATCCTAATATTATAAAAAAATACATCTTTTATAAAATAACAAAACTTTGGGGTAACAAATTTTATTGTATTTTGAAATTTCTTTTAATATAAGGATTTGAATCTTATATCTTAACTTTGAAGACCAAAGTCAATATCACTGAACTAAGTGATTGGTGGTTATACATAATAAAATTGTTTAAACAAACTAAAAAAATTTATGGAAAATTAATATAAAGATAATTTACAAATTATCAACTATCTTTCAGTAGAAATCCCTAAACTATTAGAAGTGGAAGTATTAATGGCTATTTTTGTATTATAATGATATAAAATTAATTAGATAAATTCAATGATTTGGATGTAAAGCAAAGAACTAGCTGACAATACAATGATTTATTTTTATGAGATTTATGATACCTTACCTTTGCACTGCATCTGTTAGGATAGATAAGTCATGGAGTGAGGCTTTCTCATCGAAAAAATCGTCTACAATTGTAATTAAGATTGCACTTTTTACTGCTTCCTTCCTTGAATTTGTGTTAAGAGGGAGGCAAGTTGATGAAGCTGCAGCAAAATAGCAATATGTTGTCTTCTCCCGACCAAATCCCATTGTGGAGAGGCCAGTATCCTTGGCCCACCTTCATATACAAATTAAATGGTAAAATAAATTAAAAAACAGAAAGGGAAATTTATTAATTAAGAAGCCACTATAGAAAAGGGTAACATATTTTTGGTATCTTTGTGTTACAATAAATTACCTGTGCAATTCATCAAGCTCCTTGTTGTATACTAATTGTCTCGTCATAAAATTATCAATGGCAAGCTCGAGCAAGCCACCATTTTGTAAGGTTCTGCAATTCATTCAATCATTAGAGCTTTACTTTGCATCGATCCAATTATCTATTTTAAGTTCATATAAAATCCACTAACTTGCAATAAGGAGAATTATTTCCCATCCAAAAGAGATAGATTCCTCCTCTTTCAATGTACAACCTTTGCTCCAAAAAGTCCATTCGAGCTAACCATTTAAGCCCGAACTCATGCTCAATCTAGTAAAGCAAATGTAAGTTAATTTCTAACAAAAATACATCAAAATATACACAAATATTAATTAATTACATCTTGCTGAAATATAGTTGATGTAGCTGAATGTTCGGTTTCATTTTTAGATTTCATGCTGAAGATTCCCATCTGCAAGATTTGATGAGCAAACTCTCCTGCTTTGTCGAGTTCATGATTGTCTGGAAATGCAATATGCGATGCTTTGTAAATGCTAAACATTGGGCCAAGAAAGAAGTCGTAATGGTATTTTATGTGTGATAACATTTCCTTATCATCAATGAACCAGCAAAACCTTCCTGTACAAAGCAACATAGATTAGCTTGCCGCTTAACCAATTTAATGCGTTTACTAGTAAATTAAATGAAATTACATAATAAGCCAAAGATGGATAAATATCCTTCTCTAAGGATGTTATAAATATGTAAATAATAATTCACTAGTCAAGCCTTCCTCACCTGGAGAAACTTGATACCCGTGCATCCTTAAGAGACGAAAAGCTAAAGAGTCTTTATAAATTTGGAATGCCACATCCTTGCTTTTTGGGACTTGTACTTCTTCTTCAATCCATTTCCTATGAAGAAATGCAAATATCAAAGTAAAGCAAAAGGCCTAACCATTATTTGTTAGAAGAGAAGCAAAAACAAAACAACATAACTAGTTAAAAGCGTGCATATTGGTGATATAGTTAACATTACATCTTAGAATCTAAATAACTAATATGCTTTCATATTTTAATGAGCTTTAGATCATATTTTTATTGAATAATAATAATAATAGTAAATTAAAAACATACCGGTATTGGTGATCCATCACATGCCTAATATCTTCACTGAAATGCTCTGCACATCCAAGCCTCTCCAAGTGATCAACTACCCAAAGTTTAATCACATCTTTATCCGCTAAGTATATGGGAGGAACTGATCCACATATTAAATAAAGAAAATCATATAACATTTGTGTTGGCTATTGATTAATTCATGCTCATTCTTCCTACTATTTGTCTTTATCGTCAACTTTAGTTAAAAATTAATGTTGATTTTAACTTTAAAAGTTGTTTAAATTAATTGAAAATAATGGTTTATTTTCACACAAAAAAATTTATTAAAATAAATTTACAAAATGTTAAGCTATATATATTTTTAATTAGTCAAATGATTTTAAAATGTTTTATACTTATAAATTTAAGAGATATACTTAATTATTTGATGTCTCCCTTTTTTTTTTAAATTTGATTATTGTATAGACACGCACACGTAAGAACATACAACAATTTATATATTAAAACTTGTTAGTAATACTTACTTAATATATATTAAAAGTTAGATTGTTTATTTTTATACTTATGTATTGATTACACTTATTATACATTTCCACATAGATTTGAGATGCATAATGAGTACCTCCCTGTTGGCAATCCACAAGTAAGTTTTGAAGGTAAGTTTTGTAAGTTTGGTTTCCACTTGTCATGAACGCACATGCGGTCGCCGATGGTGATCGAAAGAGTTCGGAGCCACTATTTTCAAATGCAATCTCCCTCATCACAATTCTCTCTATTGTCTCATTCTCTTCACTGCAATTAATCTTTATTCTATTCAATTCAAATTCGTTAGATATTCCATTTTTTATCCGTTGAATTGCAGGAAATACTTTCAACCCTTTAGCCTCTGCAAGCTCAACCATCAAAATCCATCTTTGAAGCCCAACTTTATCGCTTTCATCTTTGCTCTCTCTCATTTTCATCAACTCCTTCTCCATGTTCTCTCTGAGAAATTTAAGTCCTATACAATAAACATAAGTATAAATTTATTCATTCGTATATCTCAAAAATTATCAAAAATACTATACATACATACATACATATATATACATACATACATATATATACATACATATATATATATATATACATATA